CTCGATTCTGAGGCAGTAGCATGCAGCTGCGGAAGATGGGCTAAAAAGCTTAGAGCACTCCAACTGGGAGCTAGAAAGCTCTAAATGAAGGCAGCAGGCTCATGATTGTTGGTGCTTGAACCTTGAATGGAGCTTGAATGCTGTTGCATGGCCATGCATGAGCTTGCATGGATGGAAAAAATAATTTTTTTTTTTTTTTTTTTTTTTTTTTTTTTTTTTTTTTTAAACTTTGCACTGCACACAATGCATGGATGAGTTTAAGAAAATTTTCAAGCTTTTGGCAACATGATGCAAAAGGGATAGAATTCTCAAAAATGAAAATTTCAAACTTAAAACATTTCGACATGATGCAAAAGGGATAGAATGCTCAAAAATAAAAATTTTAAGCATAGAGAATTTTTGAAAATTTGCATGTCAGTCCTAAATTCAAGGCATGCATGGAAAATTTGAAACTTGACACATTATGCCAATCCAATGCATGGATGGATTTTTAGAGAAAATTGGAAAACTTTTCAACTTCTTTCTAATGCATGGATCAAATTGGAAATTTTTTCAAAATGTAACACCTCTCCAATGCATGAATAGAAAATTTTTGGAAAAATTGTCAAATTGCTCAACATTTCTAATGCCTGGATGAAAATTTTTCAAACTTTGCATTTCATCTCCAATGCCTGGAAAGTTTTGAGAAAATTTTCAAGCCTTGTAGCTTCTCTCTAATGCATGAAAATTTTTGAGGAACCATGATTCAACAATGCATTGAAAAGGAGAGGTTGTGCACATGAGTTGCATTCCCAAGATCCGATGAAATTGCTAGGAAGCGATGGAAATTTTCGGGAATGAAAATTAGAGTTGAGAAGGTCTAAGAAAAATCAAATTTTTGGCTTTTCTAAACTGTTTCCCAGAAAATTTTGCAAGGCACGAGCAATTTCAAAGAGAAGGAAGCTTGGAAATTGAAAGAATTGCTTCCCTTGCTTTGCTAAATTTAATGTCGATAGCTAGACGAAGTTAGAGCAGGTACTAATTCTCAAAAATCTCGATAGCTAGACACACCGAGATCAGGTTAGTCCTCCTTACCCTATACCATGTCTCTCAAGAGTTTCAAGCTTCCCCAAATAGGATAATTCTTTTAAAAGCGAAGGAGGAAGAACTTGAAGACAAAAGTGGAAAAGAGGTAGCGGAAAGACCTCAACCCACTCTTCATCCTCAATGAAGAACTTTGGATTATGGGGCTTATTTGGATTATGGGAAGATGGATTAGGTGAAGGTGCACCAAGCAATGACTTATGAAGGGTCATATTGAGCACGGGAATGCTCAACAAGTTATCCTTCAGACTTTCAACATCCTCCTCACACTTATCCGGCGGTTCGGGCTCAACAACTTGAGACAACTCAAGAGAAGGAATGAGATGAGATGCAAGCTCCCAAGAAAGAGATACATTTGATGTTGACCAAGGAAGATAATGAATAGGTGGATGAATATTAAGCAAAGAATTCACCTCTGAAATGGAATTGTCAACATTAAAATCCTCACAATTGAAATGAGCCAAACAAGCTTTTAGAGGATCCTCCATTGAAGGAGGTGCATAAAGCAAAGGATTATTTAGGGGTTGTTCTAGAGTTTTAAAGGATGCAATCTCATCATCTTTTTCCTCATTTTTAACCACAAATTCTTCCATTTTATGAGTGGCAACAATTTGATCTTCAACCACTATTTCATCATTTTCATATGTGATGACCACTTGATCATTCTCATGATGAAAGTTACTAGGAGTAAACTCATCATTCATAGAATTCTCTTTTGGATTGACCACAAGTTCAATTGGAAATTCTTCTTCCTTTTCCTGATTTAGAACATCAACCATTTGTTGAATTTGGGCTATCTGGTCATCTAAATTAACTCTAGATTGGGAATGAGAATAGGCGGTGGATTGCATGCTAACAATGTCATCCAACATTTGCTTGTTGGACTCCATCATTTGCGTATGCATAGACTCTATCATTTGTTCGTTGGCAGCTATTAACTCATCCAATGGAGACGGTAGAAAAGGAGAAGAAGAGGGCTGGAAATAATGATCATTGGGTTGAAAATTGGAGTGAAAATGTTGCCCAAGAGATTGTGGGGCTGAATTTCCTATGTCATGCCACAAGAAGTTTTGATGATCTCCTGAACCCGAGTTATAACCATTGAAGTATGGATCACTACCCGGATCAGAGAAATTTGCATTTGGTTGCTCTAGATAAAAATCCGAGAATTGTCTCGTTGGAAGACAATCTCTTGTATGATGTGTATTACTAGAGCAAAAAACACAAAATGCATGTGGTGTGTAGAATTGAGTTGGGAGATAATTATTCTCCATCTAGGAGTAATTCAACAACACACAAAGCAATCAACACAACACTTCATCACCATAACCTCCACATATGATATTCCCTTTCTCCTCAATTATCAAGACAAAAATTAAATTGGCCACGACAAGGACCGATGCTTGGAATTGAAAATACACAATAAAGATTAGCCTCGACAAGGGCTTGCAATTTATCTACTTCTAAGCTTAACACATGCACGATATTCACAATTCGAAACTAGAAGGTCAAGAGACTTACACGGGGTCCTCTAGACTTATAATTTGCTAGCATTCCCACGGCGAGCTTCGAGTTCCTAGAATCTCACTTACAATTTAAAGATGATTAAAACACACAAGGAATATTCACAAAACACGATATTCACAATCAAACTAAAATTTAACCCTAGAACTTTGTTCGCTAAACCGTTTGCAGTCCCCGGCAACGGCGCCAAAAATTGATCGGTTGGTCAATCATACATCAACCTTCGCAATAGCACGAATCATTGTAAAATAGGGCTATTGGTCGGGTAAGTCGAACCACAGGGACTACGCTAGTCTAATACAACCTAAATGTCTAGAATCATTTTTAGAATGATGAAGGGTGTATAGAGGTTTTGTTGGATGTCACTTAAGCTAGGAAATTAAAAATGCATAAAACAGTAAATTGCAAGAATTTAAGGGAGTGAGTACAAGTAAAGAAGGCTAGGGAAATGAATCCACCTCCATCCCTATACACATGCTAGGTTAAGATTAATTTAAGGGGAAAACAACATATATGATAGTCATGATACATAACAATACTAGGTTGCTATAATATCCTTAAGAAGTTCATTTAATTAGAAAGGCAAGAATAAACCATCAAAGGTTCACATGATCAACTACCTAAACTAAAATGTAGCTTAGAACATGCTTACTAAGCCAAGGATTATCAAGCCCTAATTTAAATGGTGAATGCACATAAAGCTAAGAATCAAGTATAGCCCATCAAAGGGAAACCCTAAGCCATGAACTATCTAGGTTCTCCAACTCCATGCCATTAAAACCATTCCATGATCTAACTTCCATTGTCACCATGGAAGTGCAAGCAATATGATTAAGAAAGGCAACCATCCAAGACAAGATGAATAACTCACAATAATCATTTAAAACATTCAACATTCATTACAACAAAAATGAGGCTCTTGACCATGGAAAGACTATCAAAAATACATTGTAATCCCCAAAAATAAACTATACTAACACATGCTTACAAGGGAGGGGTTTCATCACCTCCCTAGATGAGGTTTAGTTACCCATTGGTGAGCTAGAAGAAGGAAGAAGCATCATCCTCATCTCCAATTTTCGAGCTCCTACTGTAGCACTCAAGAACACCCTCTCCTTGCTCTCTTCTCTCTCCTTTCTCTTGCTCAAGATAAAGCTTAATGATATATGTGGCCTTTGGGTAGCCTTTTATGCTCCAACCATACCCTCTCTCCTCCAAGGGACACCTCCAACCACTTCATAAAGAGGGAAGATGGCATTGAGGAATCCAATGTGCAAGTGGGCTGAAATGAGCCATTTCCGAAGGGCATTCTGCCTGATTTTCGAGCGCACGCTTGGTGACTTCGAGCACTCTAACTTAGTGCAATGTGTAACATGCTCCTCTTGCTCAGTGCTGACCTATTTTGGGAAAACTGCTATAACTTTGTGCCCCGAACTCCGAATGACGATCTGTTTGAAGCTTTGGAGAGCTGATTCAGTGCTTTAAAAACTTCATGTTTTGATGAAGACCCAAATCTCAAGTCTGGTTGGTCGAAAATGGGGAGAAAGGCAGTACATCAGTGCTGCCAGGCAGTTCTGCGCACCTCTGTTGTGAAGATCATAACTCTCTGCTCCGAACTCCGAATGATGAACCACTTGAAGATTTGGAAAGCTGATTCAGAGCTCTAAATCTTTCATGTTATGAGGGAAGTCCAGTTCTCGAGTTTGGAAGGTCAAAATGGCAAGCAAAGACCAGGCTCTACTGCTGCCAGAATTCAGCATTGGCACCCTTTTGTTGCTCAAGACTCCACAAGGCCTTATTCTTGTTCCATTTTGGCCAATGAACCTAAAAATGCATAAAAACATAGAATTGGAGTTAATCTACATAAAATAATTAATAACTGGACTTTGTTAATGTAATTTAGGGCGCTTGAATATACATTATTCGGCGCTCATCACCAGGTTCAATCTACATTCATCTTCCTTTATAATATAATCCCTATTCATAGGATCATCGACCAAATCAAATTGAATATTAGCTAACTTCTTCCTGCAGGCAATAACTTCAGCATAAACGGATCCAAATTTCTCATCATTCCATTTTTTCACAGCTTGTTTACATAACTTCAATTTGTATAACAACTTGTTTATAGGTTCTCCCTTAGCCTGTTGCTGCCAGACAGAAAACACCAACTGTTTAACTGAAGGTTTCTTATTCCATACCATCAAGAATCTAAAAGGTTTTGGACCTATAGCAATTTTCTCAGGCAATTTAACAACTAATCCCCAATGGTCTGAAGTTAATGGAGGAGTTAATAAGACATGGGAATCAGGATAAGCAAGGGTCCAATCTTCATTCATTAAACCCCTATCTAATTTAGCATATATCCTTCTGTTGCTGAATCGCTTCTTACACTAAGTATATAAGCCATTTGCTGTTGGCACATCAGTTAAGCATAATTTGTCAATGGTATTATTGAAGTCAGCAAATACCCTTGGGGGATGAATTCTGCCTCCCTTCTTTTCAGAATTAAACCTAACAATGTTCCAATCACCCAATAACAACCAAGGCCCATCCACCTTTTGCTCACAATCAACTAAGTCCTGCCATAACTTTTGTCTCTCTCCATCAGTATTTTTAGCATAGATAAATGAAACAAATAACCTTGAATTTGTACCTCTAATCACAACATGAAGTAAGATCATTTGATCAGTAGATGTAATAACCATAACCTCAACCTTCATGGGATCCCAACCACACTATATACGACCCCCAATATCAGCATTATAATTATTGATCCAGTCCTAATTGATCCTAATCCTAGAAGTAATTCTCTGAAGCTTATTACTAGAGACTCTAGTTTCAACCAACCCACACAAATATAATGAGGAACTACTCAACCAAGCCATAACTTCCTTTTGCATTGCTTGCCTATTGAGCCCTCTCATGTTCCAAAGTCCTATCATTGAGAAACAGAATTTGGTGGAAACACCCCACCAGCAATCATCCCTCTTGTAATTCTTACACTAGTGTCCACATCCACTTCCTTCTTTCTGTTCTTTTTTTTTTTTCTGCTTCTTTGAAGATGTTCCACCCCCAGGTGAGACTGACTCCTCCACAACACATTCCTTACTTACCTGATCTTGGGTCTCCAATACCACTTCTTGTGAATCAACAACATCCTTCAAAGGATCAATAACCGGGCTTCCCAAATCATGATTAAGTGTCTCATTATAGATTTCCACAATCTGTAACACCTCCTCAGTCTCTGTATTATCGTCAAGCACCTGGAATGCATTTACTGAAACAACCGGAGTTGGAATCACAGGTTCTCCCATCTTCAATTTTCCTTTTGACTTTTTCTGAACTGTAAATCCTTCCATATCTTCTTGAGCGTCATTTGGAACATCCACAGCTTGAATACTTACCAAATCCCCTTGCTTCACACTCTTTTTTTTCACCACCCAATGCTCCCTGGGTTTAATAGTTCTAACCTTATTCGAAGGACACATTGCATCAGTATGATCCATCTTCTTACAGGTTTTGCAAACTTGAGGCTTCCATTCATATTCCACCTTTGCTCTACACGGCAAGCCATGCAACCTAGTCTGAATTATTTCTGGAAAAACACCATCAACCTCCATCTCAGCGAGGACATGAACATATAATCCCTTTTCCCTACTTTGAATCACATCCTCCATATATAACGGTTTAGCTATATTAGAAACAATCTTAGAAATTGAAGTACCACTACGTGCATGCACTGGCAAATCGCACACCTTCATCCAAATTGGAACTATGGCCATTATATCTCTTTCAAGCTGTATACTCTTATGCCATTTCTTAACAATAATTGCACGACCCTAGAAAGTATTAAATCTTGACCACACATTCATCAAATCCTCCTCAGATGGGAATCATACTTGAAAAAATCCATCTTTCAATGAAACAACAACTGCATCCTTGTGCCATCTCTTCTGAACGTACGCTTTAAAGTAAGGAAAATAGGGTTTACTACCAAGAACATAGCAAACCACAGAATTCTTCCAATACCTTAACTCATCGACAATATCTTCATCCTCTATGATAACAATCTCCTTGCCACGGCTTTCACTATAATATGTCAATGGTGTGAATCCCGTATTAGCTGTATTCTTTAACAATGAACTCCATGTTGGACGACTTGCTAGGGGTGGGGTTATCACAGGTGTAACACTACCTGCAGGAGAGGAGGGTTGCCCCTCCTCCATCATCACGTAACTGACCCCGGAAAACCTAGAAACCCTAAAAAACGAAAATATAAGTCTTAATATTACTTAGAGTAATTTTGTTATAGTGGAATATGCACTTGTTAGCATATTATGCTTCATTTTGATATTATGTTAAAACTTGTATTTTTAGTCCAACCTATGTAATGTGCACTTAGGGGCACCTTTTGATACTCTTTGGACATGTGTGTAATGAGGCCAAGGGCCAAACATGTCTAATTTAGCACTTGTACTTATGTGGAACCATATTTTGCTTTAAGAATGTATTTTAACGAACTTTGGAGGTTTAGTATGTGAGATTCCTGTAATTAATATGTATGAGGCCATGAGCCATTGTTCTATGTACAAATAATTCATATTATGCTTGTTGACATGTACACATGCTTAATTTCCCTTAAAAAGAATTAGTTTTGACCTATGCATGTGGGTAGATTGAATTCTATAGGTCCAATTGCAAATCTTCCATGTTTAGTAAAGCTTCCAACAGGTTTCGAGGTGTTTCGGTTTTGGTCTATCGGTGCCTTTTTGATTTGTAAAAATGCACATTCTAGTAGCCAAAAACACCTTTCAGGGCCATTTCGGTTGACCGATGGCTTATTTCGGTCGACCGATGGTTTATTTCGGCCTACTGAAGTAACCACCCCTCAAAAACAAGACTTCAAAAAAGTTTCTATGAGTTTTGGTCATCAACTCTATTTCGGTCGACCGAAACAACCCTCGTACACACAGTCTTCCAGATTTAGTTTCAGCACTGATGTTTCAACTTCAAAAGGCCATAACTTCTTCATTCCTAACCCAAATGGGGTGATTCTTGAGCCTAAACTCAAGGATTTTGAATCAGATTTCCAATGATACCAATTCCATTCTCAGATTCAAAACATAGTGAGATTTATTAAGGTTTTAGTGAGGTAGTGTCAATATTTACTTAAACCGGGAAAGGGCATTTTCGTGGGATTCTTGTCCAAAGTTCTTAGAACCTCTTAGAATGTTTTGAAATGATAAGATTATGTTGTATTCACCTTGTTTGACTTGTTTAGAGTTAATTTTCTCCTTTAATTTGTGAATGGACCATTTTGCCCTTAATTGACGGATTTAGCCCGTTTTGACTCTCATTTCCGCTTTTGCTCTCTTTAACTTCTGTGACTTCATGGAAGGGCACATTAGTATCTTAGGGATGACTTCTATCTCCAGAGACCTTTGTTTATCTTTCACTTTCGCATTTTGGATCCGTTACCGAGTTAACTTTTGGGTCATCACTGACGCACCGGGTTGAATAAAACCTGGGTCGTTACAGGTTCTAACAGGAAGCTATAATTAACTGAGCTTGAGGAATTACGTAAAGATGCTTATGAGAGTGCTAAAGTTTATAAATCAAGGACCAAGGCATTTCATGACAAGCATATCTTGTGTAAGACTTTTGAGATTGGGCAGAAAGTTTGGTTGTTTAATATATGACTGAAACTTTTCCCTGGAAAGTTAAAGTTACGTTGGGAAGGTCTATACATTGTTATTTCTGTTACACCTTACGGTGCAATAAAAATACAAGATTGTAAGACTGGACAGTTGTCTTAAGTCAATGGACAGAGATTTAAACCCTACATAGAGGGTAGTGTGCAGAGAGGCACAGTTGAGGCAGTGGAACTTCATGATCCTATTTACTTGGACTAGAGAAGTCAAGTTTCCGTCGAGCTATCGATGTTAAACTTAACATGCTGTCGAGCTATCGATGTCAAACTTAGCATTTGTATATTGTACCGTAGTTTATTTTAATTTTAATTTTATTATTTAAAATTTTTGATTTAGTTATTTTCTTTTCTAGGTTTTAGGTTTATTTTAGTCTTTATTTGGTATTAGGATAGTTTCGGTTTGAATAAAATGGAAAAAGAAAATAAAAATTGAAAAATTAAAAAATCTAAAAATTTGTCACAATGCTCGAGCATACAAGTTACTGCTCGAGCATCAGCAGGTACAAGCTCGACCATCAGTACCTAAAGCTTGAGCCTTCCATCATCGTGATGTGTAAGGATACATGTCGGTATACTCGAGCTCATACCCTTGAAGCTCGAGCATCAGGATCTAAAAGGTTAAAATCAGGAAACTGAGGACTCCGATTCCTAATAGAAGAGGGACGGACGTCCCTTATAAAATCCTTCCACATTCTCTCCATATTTGTGTTCGGTGAAATTTCATACTCTCATCACGGATCTACAGGAGACATACATAGAGGTAACAGTTCTTATTCTTCTTCCTTCCATTATTTCTTCTAAGGATTCATTAAGTTCTAGATCTAGAAAGGGAAGAATGAGTTGCTACTTGGATGCATGATTCTTTACACATTTATCTTCGATTCATTATTCTTGATCAACTTGTGCTTGATTTATGAACTAAATTCTGAAACTCTATTTGATAAAGTCCAGGTGAAGCCCGAGCATCCACAGCTTAAGGTTTAAGCATTGGTTGAGGCTCGAGCATCGGTATCACATGCTCGAGCATTAGTTTCCAGATTACAAGGTTTTGGGACTTTTCGGTGATTATAGGGATTTTAGTGCAAGATACTACTCATTGAAGATAGGGATGGTTCATCCTACGCCTTCTAAGCGTGCTAGGATGAGTAAGGATGATTTGCCAAGTGCTTGGAAAGAGATTCCAATTTCTTATGAAACAACCTTTGATTATCAGGCGTTCATCAAGGATCCTTGCACTAGATGGGCTATGAAATCTTTCAGCTACAGGTACCTTCTTCATCTCATGGTCTCTATTACTCAGGTAGCTTATCCCCATCTTATCCATTTGTTTTATCTTAATATGATTTATAGTGAGGATGACCCTTAGGAGCTTAGGACTATGGTTGATGGCCATGAATTGATTATTAATCCTGATGCTATTGCTGCAACTCTAAAATTTTATAATATGCTTCCTGAGGTTGTAAATGAAAGACGTAGTTGTCCTATTTTCACACCTTTCCCTAGAGTACTAATTGCTGAAAGTTTGATTCAAAAATTGTGTTATGGTCGATTCGCTAGGAGAAAGCGTAGTAGTACTGCCAAAGCCAAAATTCCTAAGGGTTGTGGATTCTAGATTCTATCATCTCTGCTAATGTCCATCCTCTTGGATATAAGACTATTAAGAATGCTGATTTTCTCCAAGCACTTTATGCTATTCAGTTTGAGCACTGGTATTCATTCATTAGGATGATTTTCTGTCAGCTACTTGCATTTTGGTCTGAGATTGGACCACATAAGGATATTCCTACACATGCATTGCCTTTTCCATATATGATTACCAGGATGTTAGAGCTACAGGGTTATGTGATATGTCATCGAGAGGAGTCGTGTAATGACTCACCACAGTTTGGAATGAAGGAATGGGATAAGGTGTGGAGACATACGCCGGCACATTGCCACGATGCTGTGGAGTTTGGCGAGGAGGGTTACATTGCAGTTACTGTTAGGAAAGACGATGATGATGATAAGGCTACATTAGAGGAGTTGGAACTCTCCAATAGCCATATTTCACTAAGGAGGAGACCCACTCCTGCAGCCCAGCCTGAGAGTTCTTCTCAGGTTGAGATTAGAGCTTTACAGGCTAGGGTGGCCGAGCTGCAGGATGGTCAGACGGTGTTGTGGCAGATGCTGGTTGCGCAGCAGAGCATATTAAAGGAGTTACTTCGTCGCACTCTATCCGATCCAGCTACTTCTTCAGATCCACCACCACCACTTACGGATTAGTTCTTAGGACTTTTCTGTATTTTTGTTGACTAGGGCAATTCTTCTTGGCTATATTTATTTTCTATATGATGTATAGCTGCCCTAAGTCTTTCTATTTAAAAGCATTGTATTGATTTCAGATATATATACATGCTTTTTGATTATAGTATCCTCATGTTGATATTTTCGTGCATTATGATATTGCTTTATGCTTACTCCATATGCTTGATACTCTGATGTGTGTTGGATTTTATTGATTTTGCCAGATACTACAAATTAAGTTTGGGGGTGATTTGACTAACAACAACCTTAGCTAGTTTTGAGGAACCACTATGTTGACGGCAGATATGTTGGAAATTCATTTTTACTCACCTATGCATTATTTTGTCCAATCTTTGTTGGTCTGCTTATTTGGTAATATCTTTCTAACTCTCTTTTGTTCTCACATATTGAGGACAATGTGTATTCTATGTTTTGGGGCAAGGCTAATTAAATTTTTGAAATTTTTGAACGTCTGGAAATTTTTGCTGACACAAGGATATGATTTGCTGATATAAGCATGTGTGTTTGAGTCTGTCAATGGTTATATACTCTGTTTGTAGTCTGAAGTTGGTTAGAAATGGTTTGTATGCTCAATTACTGTGAAAAGGAATCCTTGAATCTTTTTAAAATTAGTTGGTGGCCTGTAATTCACTATGTTAGGATAATTGTTGTTTAATGATACTGATCTCTGAGATGCTACACTTTGCACAATATTCACACTTGCGTGAAGTCTGTGAGGTAGAAATTGGAAGTCCTGTTTTATTTTGAGTTAGACTGAGATGATCAGGTAGATTTGATAGTTTTGATAACCGAGGCATAAAAGAGAAAACAAAAGAGATAGAAAAATATTTGGTATGTATGTAACAAAGAAAGAAAGAAAAATCTTCACCAATGTGAATGAAAAAAAAAAAAAAAAAAAAGTAGAAAAGGATCAAGTTCAGGTTTGTACTTAGATTGCTTGAGTGATTAAGTCCTTAAGGGTGTGTTCTGATACCTAATGCCCTAAGATCGTCTGGTCTGGGCGTCATTGGTTGCAAGCTTGTTACATAAGGGGTTTAGGTTGCCTAGATTACTTGAACAATTAAATCCTTAGGGGTATTTGAACACTTAATGCCCTAAGCCCATCTTGTCTGGGAGTCATTGGCTGAAAGTTCGCTACAAGGGTAATTTAGAAAACTTAATAAACCTGGACATTGCACAAGTATCCTTTTTGAAAAAATGCATACCCGAAAA